TTTCTTCTTCTTCTCTCTCTCTCTCTCTCTCTCTTTTTCTCTCTTCCTTCTTTATCATCCCTTCGAGCCGCTCGTGGGTAGGTTGGATTACCAATCCGGGGATCGTGGAGCATGTATTTCCATTTTTTTTTCCTCTTTCCTCCCCTTCTCTCTCCCCCCCTCCCTCCTTTTCGCCTTTTCGCCCATCCTTCGCTGTCCTCCCCTATCTCTATCCTATCCCTCCTCCTCCTCCTCCTCCTCTTTTTCCCGTGGACCTAAGGGTCGCGTTTCCTGCCTCGATGCAAATTATCGAGTTGAATTTTTGAAGGGTCCTGTTTCGCGTCCACGAGGAACCAGGGGGAGGGGGTGGATCGTGGAGAGCGATCGTGCGTTTCGATCGAACGAACTCTGAACCAGAGTTCAGTTGACGAGGATGGAGGGGCTTCGAAATTTTTGTCCGGAGAGGCTTCGTTTTAATAACTCTTTGAGAGAGAGAGAAAGAGAGAGATAGAGAGAGAGAGAGAGAGAGAGAGAGAGAGATCTTGGTTCGCGAAACGTTGAAGTTTTTGAAGAAACCATAAAGTGGACAGAGATGATTAACATCCCATTACCTTGGACGAGAATAAATCTTGGTCGTTATTGTGGAAAGTTACTGGTTTCGTAGCGACTTTTCACTCGGAGAAGACTCGTCCTCGATGAATTATTGAGATCATCCTGCGAAATTCTCGACTGATATTAGATTAAATAACTCTTCTCCGCGCTCTCTTTCACCCCTCCTTACCTTGTCGCTTAATCGAGAGATGCTGGATCGATATTTAATTTTGAAAATACGAACCTAACTATGGAGACGAAAGTATTCGGGATCGTCGATTATTTTCGTACAATCTGGCAAAATTTTGTGATTGTGAAATTTTCAAAATTGCAATTATGCCTGCCTTTCAATCTTGAATATCAGAGTGGAAACACATCTGAGAATAAGATTTAATTTTTCTCAAAGAGAGTTTTACGCGCGTCATTACAAGCGAACGGGTTAATCTGAGTCGAGAGTAAAATTAGCGAATATCTATAAATTGATTTTTTTTTATCTTTTTTTTTTTTATCTTTTTTACGCGTGTCGATCGATCCGTGTGTCGAGACCGCGAAATAGAGATTTGGGTCGGCAACCCCTTGCAGGAAATGTCAGACAAATGTCAAAGGTTGACATTAGACGGCCGGCAAACGCGATTTCGAGGCTGTTCAATTATTCGTCTCATTATCAGATCTAATTCGAAGTGTCACGTGACCAATCTCGATACCATCTGCCACCAGACGGATGGATTTAAGAAGGGATGAACCGGTCCAAGAACCATTTCCTTCCCTCCACCTTGCTCTCCTGTGGCTCGAATTTTAAAATAGAACACGAATCTTGGCGCTGACTTCCGGACGGATGGGTGAAAACCCTCAGAGATTTTTTTCCTCCCCAGGTGCTCCTCTCCTCTCTCGTAGGGGTGAGAATTTTTAGTGCACGGGGGAGTGGAGGAGAAGTGACATTTTTTTTGTACTTAACCAAAATATTTTTAAGATACGATCACTTACTTGAAAGTAATATCCCTCGGGGATATACATATACTCCTTGTTGAGAGTTCGTTTTTAGTCGAAACTATTCGTTGTAAGAAAAATTCCAAAATATCATTTTTCCATACAACGAATAAAGAAACAAAATTGTCAGAATTGGATCGAAACGATTCCAAAATTATTATAAAATTACCCCTAAAAACACGGATCGAACATCGAGCATGAGAAAAAGAAGAAGAAGAAAGGAGTAGTGAAAAGCAATTGGAAATTTCGTTTCGATAAAACTGTTCGAGGGGGTGAGTCCTCGTCCGCGCTGACCATCCCCGCACCGGGGAATGCATGCACATCCCTTCGCGTTCTTGGACTTTCTCGCAAGAATCGGTTTCACGAGCCACCTGTGGAGCGACGGACGAAAGCATTGCCCTTTCCACGCCTTATGGTGTCCCTTAAGCTCGGTTTCTAGGTCGGCCCTACGACCTTTCGATTTATGGGGGCGTAAAATTCGTCTCTCCGTCTCTCTCTTTTTCTCTTTCTCTTATCGATCCGCATTTATATCGAATTGGGCCGAGCGAACGATTGAGGATAACGCGTTTATGGAATTATCGCCATGTTGCGTTCTTTTTACGATCAATTTCGAGGTTTTTCGATCGTTAATCGTTTGTAGACAGGGATAAGTATCGCGAGGATTAAAGCGTTATATGGTAGGATTTGGAATTTATATCGTGTTGGTAAATCAGAGTTTCCTATCGGAGTTGCGTGTCCGCTTTATGCTTTTCTCTGTTCTTTTAATCCTTCGCGAATTCGTTACAAATCATGTATACGCGTTATTCTCTCTTCAGGAATAGATTAAATTTTCACAGAGAAGCTTAAGTTAGTTTTAAAGTTGTTTTCTTTTCTTTTCTCTTCTTTTCATATACTTTTTGGTAATATTGAATAATAGTCGATCATCTTTCTAGCCCTTTTCAACGTCGAATAAAAATCGATACATCGTTACTAGCTACTTGCGAAAACTTTTTCTCAAAGTTGTCTGTCAATAGCTGTATTGCTATAGTTTTTCCCAAGATTCAACCTTTTCGATCTAAAATATTCTCCAATATTATCCACCCCATTTAACATCCTGTACAATTGAAAAATTTACAAGAAATATTTACTTCTTCCATCCTCGAAAAATTGGCCAAATATTTTCCTCTCGTGCGTTTCAAAATATTTTCCAACGTGATACATCCGGTTTTCAAATGCAAAAATTCGAAGATATCTCTTCGAAAAATCGTTCGTCCTTCCTCTCTTCCCCCCCCCCCCTCTCCCTCTCAAAAAAAAGATTAAACACTTGGGTGGTGTGTATAGAGATCTCCGTATGGAAAAACTTTGGAGATAAAATTTTTTCGAAATCGAATTGTGAAGGGAAAGAAGTTCGTCATCCCTCGACGAGCCACCCTTTTCATCCTTCGAGATGGATACGTGACCACACGCAAGGTCCTCGTAGTTGCGGAGGGTGGCGCGGGGCCGTGTGCGGTTCAGGAGGTCGTGAGAAGGGAAACGGGGTCATCCCTTAATGTCCCTGGCTTCCATCCACCCTTGTGTCCTTGTGTCATATCCACGATGTCTCCCGTTTAAACCAGAGACGTTTTGAGAGCGGCCAACGCGTCGTATCGAGCGAAAGAATTTTTCTCCCCCAATTAGTGGGACGACCGTTGATTTACTAGGAACAAATTTTCCCAAGCAAGATTTAAGCAATTTCTCTCTCCCTCTCCCTCTTTCGATCTATATATTCAGATTTATTTATTGCTTTTAAAGGATGGATTTTTTTTTTTTTTCGAGACACGTAGATTGAACGTCTCGAACCTTTTTATCTTGGATCAACTATTTCTTTAGCTAGCAATTGAGATGATGGTAATTATTTTTTTTTTTTTCTTTTCATTTATTGATATGATACAATCAATTGTAATTGTTGTTGAGAATTATAAATCGATACGATAACAATTAAACAACTCTTAGGGAATTATTGAACGTTAAAAGTCTTTGGATCTAGAACAGAATTTCATATTAAAATTACCGCCACCACAAAGTTATCGCGAAAGTTAGAAAACTTATAATATTTTCATCGTATTTATCGATTCTTTCCTCGTAATGGTCTTCCTTTACCAAGCAAGAACCCGTTGCTCCTTTCGATTCCGATGGCAGCATTTGAATAAAAGTCGGAATAATAAATAAATGGTAATGGTTAAAACGCTACACTCGGGCAATAAAGGGTTAAAACAGTCGAGGATTATATTATTACCTTACCATTCGATCAAACCACGTCCCATCGCTTACTTCCAAATCGATTCTCCGAATCGTGAGACTTGTGCAACCTGTCCATCCTGTAACTAACTATCCCCCTCTCCTCCTCCTGCTTTCTAAATACGCGTAAGAAGCGAAGAAATACGCGAGACGGAGGAGGAGGAGGAGGAGGAGGGTCGGTTTGTTTGTCTCAGAAGGCCGAGTGATGCCCAAGGTCACGGGCTAAGCCCGCCACCCTCGTCTATGTTGTGTCTAGACGGTGCTTTTTACCCCTCTTCGCCGCCCTCTTCATCATCCTCGACCCTACCATCCGCCCACGCCAGCTCGTATCATCGTACTCCGCCACCTTGCCAACCCTCTACACCCCCCTCCCCCCTTCGCCTCTCCATCAATTATTGACGCTATTTACGCGGCTTTTGGAAAATATTCGTTCGATGAACTCGCTCGCTTAGCCATCAAGGATCGATCAAGGGATATTATTTGGAGAGGGATATTATTTTTCTTTCTTTCTTTTTTTTTTTTTTTTTTTTGGATTCTTGTTTCTTCGCTTTGTGACCGTTCATTAATTTATCACGACGATTTCGAGTAAGAGGGTAATACCCTCATGATTTTTTAAATTTGGACGAAATGCAGAAACAAAGAGATCGATCATTTTTTGTGAAAGATGTAACAATTCTAATTCTTTTGGAAGATGAAAAGTAACCTTGGTTACGTTAAAAATGAAAAATCGGCCAAAGATATTCGATCGACTCGAAATTGAATGTTTATATATAAAGTAGAAAGAAATCGAAATAGGACGGGTTTAAATATAGAAAGATACAGATACTATATTCATTCAAAAATGCGTGGTGTAACGCATCATTAGTGAAATGAGAAATGATGAGATTAATAATAAAAATGTGATTAAGTGAAAATAATTTCAACGTAGAGAATTAAGAATATTGTATCGATATCAAATAATATGAATAAAATGTTATTTATTTATTATTAGCTATTATTTATAATGCTGCTTTTTGTATTGAAACAAATTTATGCAGAAATTAAACAAATTATAAAATAAAATATAAATAAAAATAAAACGCAAAAGATTATAAATATTCTCGAATTAATTAAATTAAAATTAAACGTAATGCTATTTATTTATTACATATCGTGCAATAATATTTCTTTGCTCTTTCCGTTTCCAGCAATGCAACCCCCATGACAAGGAGAGCGACTATTGGGGCGGCGGACGGGGCGCGAAACAAGGTTACGAGGTGAGCGAACCGCTTGCACATATTTTAGCAGAATGGCTAGGAATTTTCACGGTCCCCGTGCTAATTCTACTTAGTGAAGCGCAGCACTTTCTGTTGCAGGCGAAAATGAACGCGGACCACGGCCAATTGCAGAAAGGTGAGTCTTGCCTCCTTGCCTCCTTGCCTTCTTAATTCGATCCCTTGATCCGCGCTACGCCTCCCTACCTACGATTTTAATTATATACCCCCTTTTCACTCTCTTCGTTTCTCTCCGTTTGCCGCGTAAAAAAAAAAAAAAAAAAGAAAGAACAAAAACATTTTCGACATGGAATAAACGCGCGGGCCAAGAAGCGCGCAAATATTGGCACTCAATATTCGATAGTGCGGCCATTCACGGATATTGAAATAACAGAGGTGAACGACGACACGGAGGATGGAAACGTACTCGTCTCGTTCCATTTTTTTCCATCGTTTTTTTTTTTTTTTCTTATTTTTTTTCCGTTTCTTTTTTTTCTTCTTTCTTCTTCTCTCTTTCTTTTTTCGCGAATTTTGTCTCGTTCGAGGGTGCGAACGCGTAGAGAGGGTTGTCGGTGTTGACTTGACCCTCGCGGTTTTTCACCACCGAAAATGCGGAGGGGATGCGAATTTTCAAAAGTACGAGTGGATAATCAAGAAAATTGTTTTTTTAAGAACCTATATATATATATATATTATTTTTTTTTTTAAGATCGTCACCTTGTAATCCTCTCGTTGTAAGAAAACTTGTTGAATTTTAAAAAAAAGGGAAACAAACTTTCGAAGGACGAAGCGGGCATGGAGAAGTCGATGGAAGAAATGCAACAAGCGTTGGCCCATTCGTCCATTCGTAACACGAGGCAGACAACGAGGATGATTTCATCGCGCTAACCGGCGGTCTCTGGTTAAATAATCCTTTGGGAGGAGGAGAGAAAGAGATGAAGAGGAGAGAGAATGGAAAGTGACGCGCGTTACGTGTAAACACAAGTCTGTTCGGTGTCTGGAACCGGTTGTAACTTTGCATCCGTGACGTAAGATGGTCGATTAGGATCGAAGCGGGCGGCGGGCCCGCTTCAGGCCGGGACAAAAAACACGCGTGAACGCGAATTTATCATTCCTCGTCGTGTCCTCGTCGTCGATTCTTCTTTTTCTTCTCTTTCTTCTTGTCTTCTCTTTTTTTCTCTCTCTCTCTTGTTTTTTCCTTCCTTCTTTTTTTTTTCGCCTGTCACCGAACCAGGATCTCTCCTTTCCACCTTGGACCGGTGCTGCGACTGTGACCTCTAACTCTCCGCTTCCGCCTTGTGCAGGTTCTGTTGACTGCGACCTCTGCCTCGCCTTAGAAAGTCACGCTTAGTCACGTAGCCGGATTTCGAAATGGGAAATCGCGGTTTTATTTTTGTGGGTCGAGGCCGAGTAGGAGTATCGATTTCTTCGTATTGGTTTAATTAAATAATCCGAAAATGTACGAAAAAAAAAATTGGAAACATATCATCGCCCATCTTCGATGCATTTGATTCTCGAAACAATGGATTTTCCATCCATTTGCACGATGTGAGGAAGAGGTAGATCAAGATAAGCGCGATCATTGAAATGGATCGATTTTGGAAAAACGAGTGGAAGAATTTACGAAGGGGAATTTTGAGTAAGGTTTTTCGTTGTTACGGAAGAGAGACGAGACGATCATCGATCGGCGTTTTCTGAAGCGAGAGAGAGAGAGAGAGAGAGAGAGAGAGCGCCGGCGGCAATGACCTAGGCCATTCACAGACCGTCATTTTTTCCCCCTGTGCTCTCCCCGAAGGGATTAAGTAATCGGTGGCTTCACTCGTAAAAGGTGAAGCACGTTTCCATAAATGTTTTTCACTGCCAATGGCACGCGCGACGTGTCGTGTAGATCGGCCATTTACGAGGCTCACGTTTTCCCTTACCGCGTATAGGAGGCTTGCTACGAAGGGGCACCGATTTACCTGATAAATCGCAAGAAACCCGGGCAAAACCGCGACCCTTTTTCCATCTCTTCTTTCCTTTCATCCGCGCCAATTCATCCACGCGTTTTTTTTTTTTTGGTTCGTTGCGCGCGAAACGATCGATCTTCGTAAAATTCGTAAGAAAAGTCAGCTAATATCGTTATTATAAAAAAGGAATTGTATTTTCGTTGTTGGTAACGAATGTGATAATTTTAACCTTGATTTTCGATTGCTTTTCAATATATAAATTTTTCAGAATTTCGATCGATGAAACGATTGATACGATTGGACGAGTTATTCAAGGAGTTATTTTTATAGATGGAATCTGTTCGAGCGGGAAAATTTTATAATTTGATCGGATCGATGAGACGTCGAATGAATAGTTAGAGAAATTTTGAAAGGATGAAAAGAATATCAGTTGGGGAATAATATGGCGAGGGCACCATGGGGCGATGCCTGGAGTTCGACGACGAAATTTCGACGTCATGCGATCCGTGCATTAAGGATTAGTGGAGGGAAACGGGTGAACCCTCGAGGCTGATTTTCGGGGCCCGGAAGAAATTCGAGACACGCGAGGCGACGATAATCACAGAACTCCCAAGATTGAGTTATTATTACTCAACATTGTTACCTTTTTACCTCAGAATCCCCGAATCTGTTGCCTGCCAAATCTGAAAAACTAAAATTAATCGATTATAAAAGAACAAGTAGAATAAAATTCTCGAGGAGAAGCGAGATTAGAAACGGGAAATCGAATTCTTCGAATTAGAACAGTGATAAAATCCGAGTTGTTGCAACTGAGAAATGAAAATTTGGAGCTAAAATTGAGTTGGAAAATTCTCTCTCCAAAAATAAACTCGGCCGAGAGAATTGGATCGATCCGATTAACGCGATCGAACAGAGAAATAAACGAGAAAGAAGAGACAAACAACTAGACCACTGACCACCGGTCATTAAGAGCCGAAAATCCTAGGGTTAGCGCCAGCCCGCCAAGCCTTTCTTCGATCCTCCTTTCGTCACGATTTCCGTTTTCGAAACGTAACCGACGGCAAATCACCGTCGTCCCCTCTAATGACCGAAGCACCTTCGCCGTGCTTAATATTCCCCCTGTCCTCCCCCCCTCCCCCTCCTCCACCACCTTGGATCCCATCACTCGGATCCGAGCCCGTTAATGGAACGGATAACGACTTTCACCTATGCCAATCGGTCGGTCGCTTCTTCTTTCCAGCTTAGATGCAGCTTCGTTCGGCTTCGTTTCACCGGTTAACCGAATGATGTTCCTTCGCGTCCCCGCCACAGGTGGTTAACACACGGAGTAGCGTTTCGAGATGGAATGATGGATGTATCGAGCGGCCATCGTCTTCTGTCTTCTGCGTTGTATTCCGTTGAAATTTTTCTCTTT